CTCATTTCCGTGTCACCAGTGTCCAGCACAGGGCCTGGCACACAAGAACCATCTGTCTACAGCAGTGACTTCTGCAGCTATATTTCTGCTGGATCACACTATAGCCCTTGAAGGGGTTGATCCTTGACCCCAGTTGGTCAAACAGATTCTCTTTCCTAGAACTGGAAGCAGAGCCTGGTTTCCTGTTTGCTCCCAGAGTCCGCAGTCCTCATTGTACGCATTTACTGCCTCCTTGTGACTTCCGTGACTTCTGGGCTTCTTATTGAACTCTCCAGAATTAACATCTTGCCTCCCAGCCAGTCTGTGAGACCCACGTGTGCCCACCCCCGGATGGCCAAACCCCGGGCTAGGCAGGTGGGGATGCTCAGAAGCTGGTACACTGGGTGCTGCTCTCAGGCCCTCCCTCTCACCTCCCCACTCCCGGGTTTCGTAGAGGGGCCCATCCTCAGGAGGGTCCTGAGGGAGTCAGGCTCAGTGGGAGCAGGTGCCGTCTCTCCCACAAAGATGCAGCTGTGGCTGCTGGGATGAATAAGTTGGGGATGGGGCTACAACCCCTGAGGATTCTGGGAGGAGGGAGCGCAGGAGGTAGGGGAGTCTTTTGGGATACTTGGTAGAGAGTGGCAGAGCCAGGCAGGACAGCTGCCTGCCCTGGAGTAAATTCCCAGCCTCTGCTTTCCTTACTCCCCTCCCTTCCCCAGGCTCCAGGGACTGTCCCTTCTCTCAGCATGGCCTCCCCCAGAGGCCCTGACCCGGTCCAAGGCTTGGCTGCTTACCATATGCCAAAAGGCAGACACTCAGTGCTTGCTAAGGGGGCCCTAGGCAGGCTCAGCTCCAGGGGGCCAAGCCCCAGAGGTGCCTGTCCTGAATACCCCCTCCTTCAGGGCGCCCTCCTGGCTAAGGCCTGTCTGATTCTGGAACTGCCCTTCCACTGGCCCTTTCCCTGGGTAGCGGCTTCGCCGGAACAGGTGGTGACTTGCTCTGAGAGGGGTCCCTGCCCATCCCCTACTGGCAGCCATCTGCTTGGGAGTCTCCCCACCAAAGGTCTGAGCATAAAGGGAGGCTGCACACCTTTCAGAACCACTTCAGCTCAAGGCAGAGGAGACTTGAAGGGCACACTGTTTATAGTCAGTGATCTGCACCTGCTTGTAGACTCTGGGTCCCCCATGCAACCCCTGCCCTTTCTCGGTTACGCCTGGCAGTCCTGCAGGTGTGGGAGAGTCCTTCCCTTGCCTTACAGTTACCAGCCCCAGAATCCCACTCGACCTTAGTGAGGCAGCCCCACACTCCTCTCTGTCACTGTGCAAAAGCCAACTCCACCCCCTGTGTCTCTGCTCTGACCCCAGATCCACAGAGAGGTCAACATGACCCCACTTGGCTCCATCCCCGTGACTTCTGCTCTTCCCTGTCCCTTATCGCTTCCTTGTTTATTTCTTGCCTGGGCCACTGCCCCAGCCTTCTAATGCCTTCCTGTTCCAGTTCTTCCCTCCCTTTCATCTCGCCATAACAAGCCTGCCTGGTAAATTACCCTAACGCACAGCACAAGGCCATTCAGGCACTGGCAACTTCCCCCTGAGGACACATTAGGGCCGGATCCCTTTGAGGCCTCCTAACTTCTTGTCCAACTCCTGCTTGCCCAGTTTAATTTTCACTTCTATTTTCTTCAAAAGCCCAATGTCTGCAAGTTGTCTCTGCCATAGAATTTGCTAGCTGTCTTCTTTGTTCACAGCGGGGCATTTACCACGTTTATTGCTGTGGCACAGCGCTTTATAGTTTGTAAACACTCGCAAACTATTTGTGGATCTACTATCCTGTGCTAGAAATATAGTGCTGAGTAAAAGAGATGTGGCCCTAGACAGTTTGGCTCAGTGGATAGAGCGTCAGTCTATGGACTGAAGGGTCCCAGGTTTGATTCCGGTCAAGGGCACATGCCTAGGTTGTGGGGTCAATCCCCAGTGTGGGCCATGCAGGAGGCAGCCAATCAATGATTCTCTTTCAGCATTGATGTTTCTATCTCTTTCTCTCTGAAATCAATAAAAATATATATAAGAAAAGAGAGGTGTGGCTGTGCTTTCATGAACCAAGTCAACATAACCTGTTGAAGTCCTCTGCCCCCAAATCATAAGTGGATTTGGAAGGGAAGTTTTCTCCCAGTCTCTCTTACCTGCTCCCCTATCCCCATGGAAATATGGCCTCCCTGGAGGCATGGGGACAAAGAACAAGACTTCCAGATTCTTAGAGGACTTTACTAACCTCGTGAGCATCACAGGAGCAGCTGCTGGGGTGTTGCAATCCCACTGCAGAGAGGGCTTTAAACTCTTACAAAGCTATCTGGAGGCTAACACTTGTCTGCATTGCAACATCTTTCCCATCTTTCCTTCCCATTACAGTAACTACCCATACCCATAGTAAGCAACAACTATTATTTGTGTGAGCCTTGGCTAGTTACTTTGATTTTGGAGCCTTCGTTTCCTCACTTGTAATATGTGGTGAGAAATCTCTTTCTCATAGTGTTGTTAGGAGGGATCAAATGAGTGCCTGTTTATGAACTCAATAATGGCATAGGACTGATTTAAAGAAGAAATGGCATTGAATAAAAGATTAATAACAACACTATCAATAACAATACTACATTATACATCTCAGTTCTAGAAAGCTCTCATATACTTTTGTTCAGGGACTGAAATATTCCGGTCTGGATGGATAGGAGATAAGACATAGCCCACCACTGTAAAACAGAAATCTGTGAGCCACAAATAGGTGTCACATGTGTCATCTAAAATTTCATCTTTCCTTCCCATTACAGTAACTACCCATACCCATAGTAAGCAACAACTATTATTTGTGTGAGCCTTGGCTAGTTACTTTGATTTTGGAGCCTTCGTTTCCTCACTTGTAATATGTGGTTAGAAATCTCTTTCTCATAGTGTTGTTAGGAGGGATCAAATGAGTGCCTGTTTATGAACTCAATAATGGCATAGGACTGATTTAAAGAAGAAATGGCATTGAATAAAATATTAATAATAACACTATCAATAATAATACTACGTTATACATCTCAGTTCTAGAAAGCTCTCTTATATACTTTTGTTCAGGGACTGAAATATTCCAGTCTGGATGGATAGGAGATAAGACATAGCCCACCACTGTAAAACAGAAATCTGTGAGCCACAAATATGTGTCACATGTGTCATCTAAAATTTCCTAGTAGCTATGTTTACAAAAGATAAAAACAGCCTGGCAAAATTAATTTTAATAATACGTCACTTTAACCCACTATCTCCAAAATATTATCATTTCAGTATGTAATTCACATGAACATTATTGGAGCTATCTTTACATTCTGTTTTGGTGCTACATCTTTGAAGTCCTGTGTGTATTTAGCACATCTCATTTGGGACTAGCCACACGTCAGGTGCTTGATAGTGAGTCACGTGTGGCTGCTGTGTCAGACAGCACACACTGATCAGTAATGCATCTAAAAATTAAAGGTCTCTGTAGTGCTTCACAGTTTCCCAAACTCTTGATATTTAAAACCAGTGTCAGCCTGACTAGGCAGATGCTTAGCATCTCCATTTTTGTAGATGAGCAGAAGCAGCAGCAATTATGCGTAATTCACCCAAGGTCATCAGCTGGTAAATGGTGAACTCAAGCCTTGTCTTCAAACTTGACACTTTCTCTTTGGCTTCCTTTCCTTGTATATCCAGGCATTGATGCCTCTAACAAGCAATACAGAGGCAAACTAGAATATTGTCAGACCTACAAGTCTCAAGACTCTGCTCTAGTGCATGAAAAGGCACAGTTCTTTCAAAACTCACTGACAATCTCTTCTCTTCAAAAATCACGCCCAGTTCAATCCCACCAGAATCGGTTAGTGTCATTTGTGGGGTGCGGCCAGAGTGTTTTGGACAGGTTCAAGCCTTGGACT